TAAATATCTGACAAGATTCGACCAAATGAGGTGCTTTTAGTTAGTCCAAAATCCATATAGTATTCTGACAATCCAAAATAAACTTCGTAAATCATTAGTCAATCTTAAGTCAATAACACAGGCCTGCGAATTTAAACTTCATAAAAGTTGTTTTGGTTTTAATAACGGATTTTCCATAATTCAGCTACTCAGATTTCGAAAGTAATATTAATTTTTTTTCTGTTACAAATCGGGAAGAAAAAAAATCTTACTGAGATCAAGTTATTATTTAGTTTACCACAATGAACAATTTTATTGTTATGTTTGGGTTGTAGAACGATCGATAAGAGCTCGCGATTGGTCTAGAGAAATCTATAGCCAGTGGTTGTCAACATTTTGAGTATTTTTGAAAAATATGTACCTGACGGAGAAAAATTTATATAATTTTCGGATACAGCGTTCAGGAATTACTGTAGAACATGTAAAAATGTCAAGACAGTAAAATCATTGCAGGCCTGTGTAATTAATTAAATTTATCTGACAACGTAACAAAGCTTCCTTTGTGTTTTGGAGCAGATTTTATAAAAAGTTCCAACTCAGTAAATGTTTCATTGACACACTTGAAGTTAAAATAAATTTGTACAAAATATCAATGTAGTAACATATGCGTACATTATGCTAAATTAGTCAATCTTTTATTTGATATACATGTGATTAAATTTCAAAACAATATTTTTAATAGAATACAATATGATGAAATGTGAATCACAGATAATTTAATATAAGCTCTAACAGTTATTGGAGGGGAAGCGCTCTTTTCCTACAGTAGTTGTCAACTAGGTGTTGTGCTTAAGCTCTGCTGTAGGATATTTAACTTGCTAACGTCAGTAAATTCATTTCAACTTACATAAAGAGTTTTAGGAGACGTCATTTTTTTCGATGCTGTAAAGACAACTGTTTAATCTCACAATAAAACATCTACGTCCCTGCCACCAAAATAACGCAAAGTATACTCTAAAAGTTTGTTTCAGATTTTGTTGCGAAAACCTAAACATTGCTATTCTTAATTTGGAAATGCACCCACTACTAATATTTGGCCTAATTTTGTCTCCCGGAATAATGGGATTTTACCGTCCGTCACTCTTGCTAGGCCTAATAATGATACAACTTTTAAGTTAGAACTTTAAGGGTCTCACTAAGTCTAAATTGCCATAAAGTTGACGTTTTCACTTAGCCTAAAATTGATATAAAATTTTAGGGGCAACCTTCACGACATTTGTTTAATAGTGTTAAGAAGCTGAATGGTATAGGGTTGGTCTGTTTTTCTATGAGAAAAGTCATGTTCAATATAACAAAGAAACTGAGCAGGAATTAGTAGAATATATGTTTATCTATTTTATACATATTTTTAAATAGAAAGTGATGAGTTTAGAGCAAGATTCTGTATACGTTGCTTAACAAAATCAAAAAGAAAGGACGTATTAATAGTAGATATCATTACAAAATACGAAAAGCTTGTGAAACATAAGCAACCAAGCTAGAGGACGTTAAGCCTAGGAAATTATATGAAAGTTTATGGATCACTTAGAACATTCAATGTTCGTTATTGTAGAATAAACACTTCAACTTGTAGTTCAAAAATAGTCGACTTCAAAAGTTTCCAAATAAACATTATTAGTCACTACGGTTCAAAGTTATGGATGAAAGTAATAAGCATAATTAGATAAGAAGTTTCAATGTATTCAATCGAAGTATTAAAAACCATTAGTCAGGATGGTTCAGTGTATTCAGTGAAAATAGTAGACACCACTAATTAAGATGGTTCAATGTATTCATTGGAAGTAGCAAACACCATTAATCATGGTGGTTCAATGTATTCAGTGGAAGTAGTGTAGACCACTAGTCAGGATTGTTCGATGTATTCAGTGGAAGGAGTAAATATCACTAGTCAGGATTGTTCCATGTACGCAGTGGAAGTAGTAAACACCAACACTCAAGATTGTTCGATGTACTCAGTGGAAGTAGTACTCACTATTAGTCAGGATAGTTCAATGTATTCAGTGAAAATAATAATCATAACTAGTAAGAATGGTTCAACATATTCAATAAATATAGTAAACACCGTTAGTCAAGGTCATTCAGAGTATTCAGTGGAAGCATTAAACACCGTTACGAAGGATGATTGTTTTGTATTAAGTGTAAATAGTAAGTACCTATCGTCAGAATTGTTCGAGCACCATTAAATCAGGATGGGCCAGAATATTCATTAGTTAATGTTTTCATTATAACGTGAGACAAGTAGAAACTGTTCTTTTTCTTTCACACGTGGAAAAACCGTCGTGAAGGTGTAAGGTTATCTCATTTACCAGAGAGTATAAACGACACTCCAAAAGAAAAAGGCCAGAGAGATAATTTTCCGTCGTCCAAGTTATTCGGTTCAGTGAGCACAGGCGTGTTGTAAATCGTGTCAAACAGCTGTGGCCCAACTGCTGTTTGTTAATGTGGGCAATATATCCTAATCTTAATTGGGATGATTGAATGCTTGAAAAAATAAATATTTCATGACCTCATTTTTCGCCCGATGTTTTTAAGATTGAAAAAAAAAGTGGTTAATCTAAACTTTCACACAGAAATATTAGGCCGGAGGCAAAGGTATTACGTGCTTCTGTTGTCAATATAGTCCACTGTTCTACAACATGGGTTTGCGTCTACAAGCATATGGGCGTGTACAATGTATATTGATATTCTTGAGAAGTTTTAGTCGTACATATGTATGTAGAAAAACAATCGAGATAATGCTATTAAAATATACCTTGCAAAGCTGAAGTGATATTTTGAGGACTTGGATCAAATGCGATTAGTATTCTGGTTTTTAACTGTTCTTATTTTAGTAAAAATGTTGATTTTCAGTACAAGATCAAGATCCGTTTTTATGATAAAGATGTTAGCATAAGCCAGGCAAAACATCTGTTATATGCAATTGTGTTTTCTCTAACAGATGAAGAGGCACCACGTAAGCGGAAAATAAATGAATATTTCATATCTAGACGCCCCCTGGTGGTTCAGCATTAAGTCAGACTTAACACGCTAAAAACCTTTTTTCGATACCCTCTGTGAGCACAGCACATATGGCCCACTTGTACAGCTTTGCGCTTAACAACAAACAAACAAAAAATATATCTGGAAGACATTAATGTTTGATATCTGATAAAAGTGAAGATTTAATGTGTGAGCCGATTTAGACTCACAATATAACTTTTGATAGTTATTTACTCAAATTATTTGGTCAATGGCATCTATAGTTTTCCTGTGACCTCACCAGTTGAAATGAGAATCACAAGGCTGAGAAGCAAAAAGGTATCCATCCATCCATTAATACAAAATTCGACTTGAACTAAAGTTGGTACAGATCTTTATGCATTTTCAAACTTTGTATTAGTTGTTGATTTGTTCAGTCAACTCAAATATGTTCAAGCTATGTTCTTAGATAGTGCTTATAGGATGTGTTATTAACATATACTCATTTCTTCGAGCGAGAGGTAAATTTGAAAACCAACCCAAGACACCACTATGTCTTGCTGTATCGTATTCGCTAGTTTCAACATCAAGTTTGGAATACGGCAGCGATGGGTGTGGCTTAGTGGTTGACATGCCTATACTGTATATCAATGGGCTCATTTTTTGACTTGTCCAAAAAGTGCACTACGGAAAAGTGACAGTCAAATAACACTATTTGGTCAGATAAGAGTAGTCCAAGGACTCCAAGGGATTAGTTGCTTTCCAAATTTAGTGATGGCTGTGGACAGATAGTCCTTGTGTAGCTTTGCACAAAACTTCTAGAAAAATAAATAGAAGACAATATAGGAAGAAAAGAAGTCGACGAAAACTGTTTTAGAATACGTACTTTATAGAGCTGTGTGGCCAAGTTATCGTACGTTAGATTTCGTCTAGAAGCCGATTTCCTCCTTTAGACAATATTTACAAATGTATTACAACAGGTCGCTTGGATTTTGTAAGAAAAAAAACTAATAGATCCACTAATGTATTGATATAAATGTTTATTTTTGTTTCGTTTTAATGGGAAAAACACAAAACATGTGCGGTATCATTCTGTCTTTACAAAATAATCATACAAACGCCAGTTTTTCAAATAAAAACCTCTTATAAGAATAATAAACACCAAGCTTGCACATGATACAAAAAAAAATGAACCAGGATTATTTTTACTTCCAACACCTGGCGGTGAATACATAAACTGTTTTGAATAATATTAGTCACAACCTTTCATTTTTATACATTTTTTTTTCAGAATTGTACAGTGCACAATAAAACAAAATTGTGAAATTAATATAGATAACAAAAATAAGAAAAGGTTTTAACAATTTTGGTAAATCATAAGTTGCCATATTCGAAACTCTTTGATTCATTATCATCAAATTTAAATAACTAAGTATGTTTTCAAAGCGACAAGACTACATATATTAGTAACAAATAACAGCAAAAGCTACATATGCCAAGCCAAACTAAACTTAACGTAATATTTTCCATATGAGTTGAACAACAACCATTTTAAATAATGGTTACATTTGGTATAACACAACATATTCATTTTGTATAGTACTACAGTGCAAGCTACATAATAGGTACTAACAAAAGCTCGAATCTAACGGTTTTTTTGTTAGTCATCTGGATCTGTACGAAGTATAAACGTAAAAGAAAATTAAGTAAATTTATTTTTCTGGAAACAAACGTGAATTTTTGTAACGTAATTTTCAACTATTTAGCTGTCTAGGCAAATTAAGCACTTAAAAATATATTTATATGTATATCATACATGTAGAAGTTTCTACTGAGTAAATACATTGCATGAAACTAGTAAACTTCAATAAAACTTTAAGAAAAACTAAAGCATTAAGATAATATATTCATGCTTGTATGTAAAAATAGAGAAACAGCTTTGTGGGATATTAATTTTATAAAATGATGTTGTTTTATAAGTATTTATAATAGCGTTGATATCCGTAGCTTGGGTAATTATATCCATCATAGCTGCCATAGCCAGGGTTATATCCATATCCTTCATAGCCAAGCCCATATCCACTATAACCAAAACCACGTCCATAGCCAAGACCATGTCCATATCCATAATTCCTATATCCATCATAGCCAACGCCATAGATACCATATCCAAGACCATGTCCACAATAGCGGAGACCATATCCATCATAGCCAAGATGATATTTTCCATAGCCAAGACCATGTCTATATACACCGTAGCCGAGATCATATATACCGTAGTCAAGATCATAGATACCATAACCAAGGTCATGTCCATATCCACCATAGCCAAGTTTATATTTTCTATATCGAAGACCATATCCGCCATAGCCGAAACCATAGCTACCATAACCAATGCCACGTCCATATCCATAACTGCCATATCCGAGGCCATAACTATCATAATCAAGACCATGTCCATAACCATAATTGTTATATCCACCATAGCCGCGACCATTTCCACCATAACCAAGGTCATATTTTCTATATCCAATACCATATCTGCCATAACCAAGGCCACGTCCATAACCATAATTGTTATATCCACCATAGCCGAGACCATACCCACCATAGCCAAGACTATAGCTGCCGTAGCCAAGACCATAGTTTCCATAGCCAATACCTCGTCCATATCCATAACTACCATATCCACCATAACCAAGACCACGGCCATATCTATAACTATCATACCTATTATAACCAAGACCATAGCTGCCATAGCCAAGGCCACGTCCATATCCATAACTACCATATCTACCATAGTCACGACCATAGATTCCAAAGCCAAGACCATATCTACCATAGCCAAAACCATATCCAGCATTGCCAATACCATAGCTGCCATAACCAAGGCCATGTCCATAACTAGGAGTGCTATATCCACTATAGCCGAGACCATGTCCACCATATCCAAGACCATAGCCATATCCTATGATAGGATAGCTAAAGCCATAGGCGACATATCCATGACCAGGATAATACTTTCCGTATCCGTAGCTGGGATGACCGTAGCCATATTCACTTTGGTAACTTCCCCTGACAGTAACCACAACCAGAAAGAGAGTAGCCACAAAGAGCTGAAAGAAAAGAAAAGTTTGAGTTATTTCTACTTATCATTGAGATATGTTTATTTTTATTTCTATGAACAGTAAACATAGTTAGAGAAACTTAATATTCTAAGAAGCCCACATTTCTTGGAACATATCCAAATATACCATTTGTCAAGAAACGTAAGGTTAGCTTTCACAGTTATATGTAGAAATTAATTCACATTTAATTTATCACACCAAGAAATACAGTCTTTAAAGTGAAATAAATATTGCCTAGTGTTAAAACTAAAGAATAATAAGAGTGAGGTAGATCTCGTATAGTAACTTATTTCTTTAATGTTACTTTCGTTAACCATATTGCTTATGATATCTAATAGCTGTATAATATTTAATGTTTATTTATTGTAAGCACAGCTATGTGGTCTTTGTGTCGGAAGTGAAACGTCACATGTTTTTAAAAATAGAATCTAAATTCTAGTACAGGATTGCACGTGTGTGATGTGTCAGTTGTTGTTTATAAAATTTTGTGTAAAGCTACCCAAGGGCTCTCTGCACTAGCCTTCCCTAATTTTGAAGTGATAAACTAGAGGTAAGGCACCGCCAAACTCGTGGGCCACCAAATCGATTTAGCCATCACTTTTATAGTGCACTCATTGCCCAAAAGTGCGGTAACGGAGTGGGAACCACTGACCTTCAAATCCAAAGTCTGGCACGCTAGCTGCTCGGCCCTGCTGTATAAGTGGCGGGAAACAAAGTGAGTTGTTTTTAAATAAGAAAGGCTTAAAAGAATATGTGTTTGTACAAGAGTAATTTCCAGAACTATTGGAAGGTTTATCCAAAAGTAAAAGAAAACGCTTAATGGTAGTGGAACTGGAAAATAATTTTTTAAAAGAATTAAGCCCATTATTAATATACATATATATATATATATATATATGATAATATAAAAATAATCGATATTACATAAAAATTATAATACAGAGATAAAAACAATTTTAATTAACTAAGAGAAGTTAAAACGGTATCGATGCAATAGCGGAGAAATTCATTTCAAAACAGTATTTTCTAAGGTTTTCCAGAAAGACTTTGAGTTAAAGGACGAAGAGCATTTACACCAGGGCTAAGACTCATACCATTTGCGATGAGGGTATTGAAAACTACTAATTCAGTCTTTTATTTCTCTGTCGACTTTTGAGTTGAACACTGTTTTAATAACGATGGGAACCATGTCATTGATGGCGTTAAAGCGTTGGGCAACACTGGGTCTTGATAGAAGTGTTGCGTTTCATTAACCGTTCTTGAGGGTAGTCTGGGTTTGTCCAACATTCTGATGGTTGGGTTTTGTTTGTTTTTTGCACCTTATAAAATGTATCGCGTTTTGAGTTTGACAAGAGATTGATTTTATTATGCTGTAGTGTTTTATTCATGTTGGTCAGAGAAATTACTGGCGACTTTTATAAACTTACAAGTCCGACTTTGAACTTTATTATGAGGGGTACAGCCATTATGGGGCATTGGGTAATTAACTTTGTGAACAATGATATATCTAAGGTTTTTATATTCTTGGAGAGAAACAACCGGACGATTTCATTCAGACATTCACTGATCTGTAGAAGATGAAAACGTTTTTTTTTGTTTTACATTCGTGAAGAATTAAAATTTATGTGATAACCAGATCAGATTGGTTGAGGCTAACAGCACGTGGAATTTTGCTAGTCTTTTTCCGTTTAGTTTTCTATTTCAGAAACTTTATATCCCTTTTTCCTGGATATTTTAGCGTCACAGTGTGTTTTGCAATCATTACTGTTAGTAAAAATCTACTTATTGCGAAGGTCTTGACTATAAATAATGTTTACTTTGACGTGGACCGGATGACAGCTTCGGTGATGAAAATATTATGATCTGTCTGTAGGTTTTATGTACAAGTTAGTTAGTATGTAGAAAGCCATCCTTTGGAAATACAGTGGCTTCAGAAAAACGTATTTGTATCAGAAAATATTCAAATGTAAAATATATTAAATATGGTAATCGTTTGCATATGAAAACATTTCTTGAAAGATTTGGTGTCAGCAGTCCAAATGAAAAATATGTCATCATTATAGAGTTTCCAGAAGTTTAATTTGACGGAACCTTTCTCTAGCATTTGATTTTCAATCCCATCCATAAAGATGTTTGCAAAGTTTAGTGCCCACAGCAGTACCATTAATATGAATGTAGTGTTCATTGTTAAATTGAAAGTTATTTTGGGTTTGAAAAACTCTGGCTAAATCAACTACTATATTTAATTCATGGCTTTTGAAAACATTTAAGGCAATTTTAAGAGATTCTAAACTTTCATTATAATGAATGATAATGTACAGAGATGAAACGCCTACAGTATAAAGAAGATTCTTAGAATGCATTGGGTCATTATAATTAATCTATGCTTATAAAAGTAAAAACATATGTTTGTTTGCTTATCCGCAAACTACTCCGTTGTCTTTGTATCAATCTTAACTAATCTTGGTAGGATGATACATTGAACTAACGGGCATGCCACAGATTGGTTATTACCCGGCTTTACCCACCATGGGCCACGTCCACAGCAAAAATATGTTTCTTTAGCTAATGATTCACAGTACTGGACCAATTTTTATTCCTAAAATATTTTATTTTGAGTTTTCATTAAAAATGTCAAACATTCATATTTTTGTCAGGGAAAATGGGAACCAAAGCACAAGATCAGACCCTTAAAGTGGCAGGGCTACATCTGAAAACCCCTTGCTTTTCATTTGGTTGATTTTACGTTGAGTGTTCAAGAGTACGATCGCAAAAAAACTCTTTATTTTGGCGCAGAAAGGAGGAAGAACTTGTAATATGGTTTATCGAAATCATTCAGAGTATCATCAAACCCTGAGGTTGGAGAGAAGGATTAGTAAAAGTGGTAAAGTAACGTAATTGTAACACCATTTCTGTAATGTGGAATAAAGTAGGTGTGAAATAAAGTAGTTGTAAAGTACATTATGTGTGAAATAACATATGCATATGAACAGAAGTTCTTGTTTTTATTTATTAGTTCAAGCTCTACATTCAATCCTTATTCCCCCGGACGTAGAATGAGTGCCTCAGCTTGTACTCTGAATAGTTTTGAGGAAATGATTAGTGTCTGATATAAGAAGGAAGAGTGCGGAAAAGTTTTATGTGGTGATCAACACAAGCAGGTAACTTTTCAGTAGCATATTAGTGTTAGAAATGACGGAGCAATCAAGTTGTTGGGTTTATGGATTTTGAGAGTAAGTAAAAACCTATTTTGGCATGCTTGTTTGGGTGGTAATTATTCAAAAGAATTTTTACAGTTTGGCTGGTCTGAAGAAGCTGTTTGACTCGTTAATGGCTTTTGTAAGCTAGTTAAACAGGCAATAAAGAAATACTGTGTAAAAAGTTTTATCGCTGCGTTGTCAGTGAGCTCCAGCAATGTAGTCTTTTTTATCAAGTGTAACAATCACCCCACCTTTGTCGGCATATTTTATAATAGTTAGGATACCCGCATTTCGTTGAAGGGTTCAATGACCTCTTTATGGTTCAAAGGTTCCAATGTATCGATTAAGCTTTTCCATTATTTCAATTACTTCTATAGTTACCCAAAGAAGAGTTCTTACCCAAAATGAAACCCTATTAGGGCATCCTCCCGTGACACCTGAGCATGTATACCAAGTTTGGTCTTGCTAACCTGTGACCCGTTGATCCCGACCGGTGTTTCGGTCTCGTTTGCCCCGGGAAGACCGTGATCCATTCGGACCTCCTCTTCCCTTAATTGGTAATCGTATGTTTTACACACACTCGGACTCTTTTCAGATGCTATGTCTGTGGATAAATTTCCAAGTATTTTTACGATGTGATTTTTCTTAGTTTGGTTGTGCATACAGTCTTACACTTATAAACTGTTCCTTCACACACACACATACATTGATACAGATGTTCTTCTAAGAATGCATTTACACATAAAATACATTTTTTAAACACAAAACTAGTTGAAAATATGTAGTGAAAGTTTTCTAGCATTACGTGGCATTATATTGCTATGTGTTCTACCACAGACGATTTTAAATACGGTATGATGGGGGTGATGTATTTCATAAGTACTTTAAATAATATAGTGATGTAATCTTGATTCTGACTGGGCTTAGTAAGCTCAATAACAAAATCCATGAATATATTCTTGACTGTTGTGATTAGTAGGTTTTTTTTCATTGTTGTCATTATGATTGTTGTTTTTTCTATGTTGTACCTGTGTTGTAGTTTCCTCCGTAGTTGTTGGTGTTATAATTGTATGTGCTAGGGTACATTTGATGAATGAAGCATAGGTTACTTCTGTCGGTTACTTTTGAGTTTGTGGAATTAATTGTGTAAGCTTTGCTTGTTTTTGTTGGCTATTTTGTGTTGGTGGCGCAGTTTGTTGAGGTATTGTAGTGTGTATTTGTGAGTGGAAAAAGGAAGGCAGCTTCAAAATGGCACCTTCAAAATCCCGAGGGGGCCATGAACACAGAATAAAATTTTAGATTCAGGCTTAGAAACTCTGAAAACCTTACCTTAGATCCTCGTCATGCCCGGACCACCCCGAATCTGTATACCAAGTTTAGTACCGTGAACTTCAACACTTTGGGAAGAGTTAGCGGATAAGCAAACAAACAAGTTTACGTACAACGTGAATTATTAGAGGATGCTACTTTCATGTTTTGTATTTTTGTGTTAAATTGATTTTTTGAACATACGTGTTTTCCTGACATCCTAAATGAAGCTAAATATGTTTAGAGTGGTGTTAAACTAAATAGAGTTTAAAGTGAATTAGCTCATGTCTGGTGTTAAACTAAAGTGAGTATAGAGTGAACTAGATCTTTTCTAATGTTAGACTAAAGTGAGTTTAAAGTGAATTAGCTCATGTCTGGTGTTAAACTAAAGTGAGTATAGAGTGAACTAGATCTTTCCTAATGTTAGAATAAAGTGAGTTTAGTCTGAATTAGTTCTTGTCTGGTGTTAAACTAAAGTGAGTATAGAAGTGAACTGGATCTTTCCTAATGTTAGAATAAAGTGAGTTTAGTCTGAATTAGTTCTTGTCTGGTGTTAAACTAAAGTGACCATAGAGTGAACTGGATCTTTCCTAATGTTAGAATAAAGTGAGTTTAGAGTGAATTAGTCCTTGTCTGGTGTTAAACTAAAGTGACCATAGAGTGAACTGGATCTTTCCTAATGTTAGAATAAAGTGAGTTTAGAGTGAATTAGTTCTTGTCTGGCGTTAAACTAAAGTGAGTTTAGAGTGAGTTAGCACTAGTTTGGTGTTAAAGTAAAGAGAGTTTAGAATAAATTAGTTCTTGTCTTGTGTTAAATTAACGTGAAGTTAGAGTGAATTTGTTTTTGTCTGGTGTTAAACTAAATTTTAGAGCTAACTCTAACCTAAGTTTCAGAAATAAATAAAGCAAGGGTATTACTTACTGTCTTCATTTGTCTCCGTCCTGAAATCAACCAGTTTTAGAATAAGGGAAACAAGACGTGCGCTGGACAGCTAAACGTGGTATTAATGACAGTTTATTGCCTTTTATATTATTATTCTAGAGCACTTTCTATCACAGCATGACAAGGCATAACTACTAAGTTTATCTTTAATTACGTTTAAACGTCTTTGTCACTAATATTAATTTCACAACAGGATAATGTATGTAAATATTTCAAAATAAATGTTTCATTTGCTAAGTGGAGACTTGGCCATTCGGGACGACCTGCTTGTTTTTTCGTCACCCATGGTAGTACCACAACTGTTATAAGTTAAAGAAGTGAAATTATATCACCAGGTTGTAAACGATAATATCCCGATAGGGGGCATTTAGATTTGACAGTTGTTTTCAGAAATGTTTTTGTACACATTTCTTTGAGTAGCTTATTAGTTTTACGCAGCACTTATGACCACTATACCTTTCTTGTTGTATTGTAAAAGTTTTACTTTGCTATATATATATACAAGTTAAAACTGTGTGGAGATTCAGGCGTATATCAACCACTGAAGAAACGTTATACACAATCTAAGAAAGAGACCATGCTTTCTGAGCGTGTTAACACCATTTTTGTGTTTTCTAAAAGTAACCAAGAGCAACGTATGATGATAACGTATTTTCAATATTATACAATAACTATCAGACTAAACATAGGAAGACATATTAATATTTCAATATTGATGGAAATTTGATGCTTGCTGAACATATGAATTGCACTGATCCACAATATAATAAGGCTGTGTTTATAATGATTAAAAACCTACAACAAATGGAGAATACAGTATTTTATGTGACTCTACATCTGTAGCAAAATCCCCATTAAAGCTTACTGAAAAAATTGTGTGGTATACTTGTATAAAGTTAAGGAATATAATATTTTATTTGGGTGTGTATAAAAACATTAGCATTGCGATGAATTATTTTCTATTGGAGGCCAGTCAACTATAGGCAATCATTACTTATATGAAATAACATGTGATTTGAAAGTTGGAAGAAATGGGAAAGCTACATTTCAACGAGTTTTTTTATGGTTCAAGCGATTAATTATTCTTATTAATGAAGAAAAATACAAAATTTGTATCTGAGGATCAGTTTTGAAAAAAACGTTACAAAACAAGTGTTATAGATGGCTGATTATATTAACTGTAGAACCTATCCTAGGCTAGAATAATGCATGTTTGTTCTGCTCTGGATTTGTACCGAGCTGACATGTAGATGTTTGACAGAAGTAAGGTATATCGCACGTGCACAAATTATAATAATTAACTGATATGTAATAACGGTTAGGGAATACCTTTACATAGTAAGTTATCCAATTTTTGTCGATTGAACTTAAAGAACTATTCTGTTTCAGCAACGTATAGCCTGCTTCCTCAGTAGCTAACCATAGACAGAACAACGCACAGTTCATTGCTTTAACAACTGATCATAGACATAACAACACACAGCTCACTTCTTCAGCAGCTAAACATAGACAGGACAACACTGAACTCATTTCCTCGGCAACCAATCATAGACAAAAACAACACATAGTTTCATTGCTTTAACAACTTCATAGACGGAACAACACAACTCATTTCCTCAGCAGCTAAATATAGACAGAACAACACAGAGATCACTTTCTCATGAGCGAAGAATAGACAGAACAACACACAGCTCACTTCTTCATCAATTCAGCATAGACAGAATAATACACAGCTCACTTTCTTGGCAGCTAAACATAGACAGAGCAACTTACAACTCACTTCCTTAGCAATCAAATATAGATAGAACAACACAAACTAAACATAGATAGAATAACAAACAGCTCACTTACACGTCAGCTAAACATAGACAGAACAACACAGAGCTCATTGCCATAACAACTTATCATAGAGACAGAACAACACACAGCTAGTGTTCTCAGCCGCTAAACATAGACATAATAATACACAGCTCACTTCCTCAGCAGCTAAACATAGACAAAACAACACAAACTAAACACAGGTAGCATAACAAACGGCTCACTTCCATAGCAGCTAAACATAGACAGAACAACACATAGCTCATTGCCATA